CGAAGAAGATTTTAAGAAGGAGAGCTAGTATTGAAAAAAGTGTTATAGATACGTGAGGCGGACCGCAGTAAATGGGCATCGAACTATGAAGGTCCTTATATGGTGAAAAAAGCATTCTCGAGTGGAGCTCTCATTCGATAAACATGGATGGTGATGAACTATCCAAGCCGGTGAATTCAAAAGTCGTAAAGAAATTTATATCTAAGTTGTAACTCTTTCTAGTCCAAAGCAATAAATATTTATCAAATTTTGGCTAGTCTAATTTCTATGTGAGCATTTTCTCTTGCTTCTCATTTTCTTCGAATGCCTTACATGATCAAACTTAGGATTGTTTTAATTCCATTTTGAAAAAAAAAACCATATTTTCAAATGTGATCAATCCCTAAAAGCCTATTTTTTTTGTCCTTTGCATACGAATGTATTCATATTATCTATGAAACATGATAAACAATTCAAAATATCAAAGAATAACATGTTAAATTGGTTAAACAAGGCCTTTAACATGATTAGAGCTTTCAAAGTGGGCTTGCTTGGAAAGCAAATTGTAGGACACTTCATACAATTCGATAAAGCCGAATGAAGTCCAAATGGAGGGAGGGGCAAACTTAAGGGTACAACGAACAAATATGAGATTTGAAAAAGAAAGAGTCATCACATCTCCAAACACTAATCGGATGGTGTTAACATGATCAAAAGACTTGTAATCAATAGTTATGGTATAATGCGTAGATGGCCAGCCTTAAAAATGAAAAAAAAAAAGAGAAGAGAGAACAATAAGCCTTACACTTTAATTATATACGAAAAAGGTATTACCAAGCAAGAAGAGGATGTGTGGTTTGAATGGTCAAGACTTGGTTTTCATGTCTTTCTCGATTACTCCGTTGATTTTTAGATTGAGAGGATTTTATCCCAACCTAGTATATTTCACCATTCCTTATCTTAATATCCTTGCTTTCGTTCTTCTCATACCCATTAGGAACCTTCCCGACTTTGATTGCTTTATAAGTCCGACTAATTTAGAGCAACCACTTAGTTAAATTTATTTTGTTAGATGAAAGCATCATCTTGATCTCTTTATTTTTTGATTTGGAACCATCCAAACGAGTTCAAAGTCAATCCACTCGGACTCTCATAAAAGAATTAATTCAATACTTTTTTATAACTTTAGCCATCTTGCTACCATAAACATTGAGAGTCCACGTACTTGGCGAATTCAAAAACTCTAGGTTTCCTAATAATTATCACATTTGACACTATATCCAGTCTAGAAACTCGCACCGACTCATACATATCAATGCCTTTTGTAGCCTTGAGGAAGTCTTCGATTTCTAATAGTTTTTCTAAACTAGGCTCTTTTATTGCCTTAGTCCCGTGGATTTTTTTCATCAATTATGTATACACTAGGTATACTTTGCATCGGTGAAACTTGTATGCCCATCGTATATGAAATGGCCTAATAGGGAATGATGCTTTAGCGAGAAAATATGATTGCTTTGGGTTAGTGAGTGAAACGAGTGGATGGCCTAGGGCTTTAATTTGGCCTTGGAAGGGAGATATAGTTCAAATTTAAGCTTGGCCTTGGCTTAATGTTCCCTTACCACTTGGTAATGCTAGTAGTGCTTTTTCAAAAGTTTAGACAAGCGGGTAAATTTTTTCCTTCATAGGGTATTTTTGATGGGCATGCTCTCATTATGCTCTCTCTTCAATTTCCATTTAACCTCATTCAATTTGAGTGTAAAGTGTTTAGAAGAGGAGTTCGGCTTTGGCAAAATAGTCTATATTTCAAGCCCCGTGAACAAAATCAAAACAGATATGTACAACAAATATACAAGTATATACATGTATGATTTGAATCGAATTGGATACCTTTCTTTGTTTGTTACACATCAAATCATGACAGAGTTTGTACCAAGGACGGACCGGATCGGATGTTAATCCTACGGATATTTGAGATGATTTATGAAACATAACTACTCCGGATCAAGAATTGTTTTTTTAGACCTCTTTTGATGAGTGTATCATGTGACAACATACACAAAAAAAATAATTGAAATTTAAACTTCTAGCATATTTTGAATGCGACTTAAAGTCATTTTCCATTGATGAATAAAAATAGTGTAACTATTTTCAATAATTACTAGTACAATAATTTACATTACAATGTTTATAATATTTACAATATAAATATATTCTTATTCTATCCTTCATAATTGCGGACCTGAATTGAGGTACTAGGACCTATATGGCTTCTAAATCTTTTATGCACTCATCTTCAATGATGTATTTTTTGCTTAAGGGTCTCTTATTTATTTATTTATTTATTTATTTGCATAAGATCTAGGGTAGACAACCTCCCTCCTCCAACTAAATCCATTCCGATTTGGTCCTAGAATCCTCAATACCATTTTGTACCATGATTTATTTTGATGATATCCTATAAAAACGAGGGTTAATACAAACATCATTTGAAAATAATTCATGTCTTAATGGGTCAATCTTGGTGGACAAGATCAATCTTTTTTTGAGTTTAGGCAAAGCTTATCTAATCTTGAAGTCTTTTTAAGTTTTTGAATTGTCTAAATTATCGGTGGGGTAATTTAGCTTCTAACCTTATGCATGAGGAGGTAGGGAAGTTATTCCATAATTTTCTATGCATAAGGTGAGTTCAAGTCCAAACAAGAATTCGAAAGAGCATTAGTAAACTTTTATCATATTTACTTCAAAATCTCTCTATCTAAATGCTAATAAGGTTTTAACTTGGGTCTAAAGCTTTTGTAGGTTTTCTCATGATATGTGCAATAATTCAAAGAAAACATCTAACCTAGTTAAAAATTAATATGTGGCAAAAAAAAATTGCACAAATTAAAACATGTGCAAGAAATAAAAAAACTCAAAACTAAATGACTAAAAATAAATTACTTGGAAAATAATCGATAAAAATTAAACACAAGAGATAAACTTAAACGGACTAAACCTATGGTCTAACTCTAAGTTTTTAGTGTAGTCATCATTCTATCACTACACAAATTCAAATGGGAGTTCCAAAAAAATCTAAAACTCAACGTTTTTAGAGGTTCACATCTCATTTGTAAGTTATTTTAGGGATGCGATTTATTATTGAGTTTGGAGTTGCCACCTAGTATTAAAGGAACTAGGAAGCTAAAAATAAGAAAGGGTGTAGAGATTTTTGAGTAAGGAGTTTATTACACTCGGAAGATATCGATCACATAAAGATGCCCTTTCCTAAGAAAGGTATCACGTCTAGTTAGTCTTAAATTCATCTCCTAAAGTATTTTATTTATGCTAAGTTAATTTTTATTTAGACTTTAATTTTCTAGTTAAATTAATGTTGGTGACTTATGATTCGATGGAGAATCGTTATCCGTCCCTAAGAATTAGAAGACTCGATAATTCATCCACCTATTAACTATTAATCTAATTATTGACGATTCAATGAGAAATCATCATCGATCCCTAATAATTAGGAGATTCGACAATTCACCTACCTATTTACTATTAATCTAATTAGTGACAATTTGATGAAAAACATCATCGGTCTCTAAGAATTAGGAGGCTTAACAATTTTCTCACCTATGAACTACTAAACTAATTTTGAAACAAAATCTTAAAATTAACTATTGGCGTTCCATTTTTTTATTTATCATTTTTTATTTATAGATGGAGAATTGTCACCAGTTCTTAAAAATTAGGAGACTTGACAATTCATCCACACATTAATCACTATTCTAAATACTAAAATAAAATTCAAAATTATGTTAATTAAATAAATTAAAAAATTTAAACATAAAATTTAAATTAAACACAAAATAAAATAACATGTATGAAATAAAATTCAGAATTAATGTACACAAAATAAAAGTAGGGCCTTGCGCTTTTTTTTTATTTGGTGGACCTTAGCCCGTTGGGTTTGGGCTAAGAGGTTGGCCTACTTGGACAAGCTAGCCTTTCCTTTCAAATTCTTTTTTTTTTAAGGGGGCTTGGGCTGGCTCGAACTTAGCCCAACCTTGGCCACGAAGCTAGGCATAGCCCAATTCGCTTAAACTACCGACAGGCTAGGGCAAGTCCAGCCCTTTCCCATTTTCAACCCCTTTTTAAGAACAAGGCTTACCATGCATACTTTGTAAAAACTTTTATTTAAACGGACCCAAGCTTAAACTAAACCAAAACTTTATACCTATCATCTTCTACCTCTCCCATTTCTAAAACTAGTTAGGATCGTATGATTTCTCCTCCTTCCTCACCTTTATTTTTGTTTTGTCCACTCAAATTTCATGACTCCGTTGGAAATTTCCCATCTCCCACATTCTCTTTTTATTTTTTCCTATTCATATTTCAAAGCTCAATCACCATAAAAATGTCTTTAAGCCTTAAATCGTATTATCTCATTGAGGTTCAATAGAGGATGGGTTCTTTATGGGGGAATGGAGACAGGAAGAAAATAATAATAGGGGCTATTATAGTAGTGGTTTATAGGGGCTTCGGGTGTGGTTTCAATTGTAGTAACTGATTGTAGAGGGTAGTTTTGGTGAAGCTAATGGTGGTGAAGTTAGTGGCTATGGAGTTTTGTATGAAATGGGTAAATGGGTCGGCTATTTTGGGTTAAAGAGATGAGCATTTGGTTGGTTACTCGTATGAGAAAGAATGGCTAAATTGGGGTTTCTCATAGGTTAAGAAAGAGAGCTTTGAGCTATAATGGTGTGAAGGAAGCTCGTTGTAGTGAAGGAGTTGAAGTATGGGTAACTCACAAGTCCGCCCACCAAGTGTTTGATAAAACTTCTCTATGACTCCTCTTTATGATGATCTGGATTAATGATGACTGGCACTTAGCTAGTCGAAGCTAGTGTAGAGGTGGGAAGAGTCTGTAGTGTTTAGGTTTGACTAGAATTATGGGTTTTAATGGTGGGGAAATTGAGAGAAGAAGATGGAATTAGTGGGTTCATAATTTTTATGGGTGGTGATTTTGGTGAAACTTTTTGACCATGAGGTTATATGGTTCAAATGGTTATGGCGACTACATAGAGGAAGAGGATTTGACGAGGCGAGAGGATGTAAGTGATGATGGTGATGGAGTAGGATACATTTCTTATAGGCAATGTGGTTGTGAAAATAGGATATGGTAATAGTGGTGGTTTGAGGAGATGCTTATAGGATATGGTAATGGTGGTGATTTGAGGATATGCTTACCGGATGTTTGGGTTTTTACCGATGAGACGTGTCTAGCTTAATGATTATTGAAAGGTTGATAGTTTTGTGTGATTTCAATGTCCGGCGGTAGGTGGAAGCTATTGGTGGCTTTGTTGGATGAGATGACGATTGTATTTGGCTTAAGGGGTAGGGAGAAGATATGGGTTATGGTTGAGGTCTCGAGTACACTAGGGTTGGTTTTTTTTTTTTTTTTTTTTGGATATGGCTATTGTGATGGTAGTTTTGGTTGTGATGAAGCTTTAGAAAGTCAATAGTGATAGTTTTTGTTAGTGGAGATCACTCATTTCGACTAGGTTTTCTTGATGAGGAGTTGTAGTGGGTTTTTAGGAGTGAAGAAGATAAAGCTATGGGTGATTGGATGAGTCTGTTTAGAGGGAGATGTTGTTGCTTGGTGGAGGGAGGAATTTCCATGGCACCCATCTTTTTCTTGTGAAGATCGTTGCCCATCTTTTTTGTTTTAAGAGACTACATTGATTAGGGTTTTGGAGATTGGGGAATTTTAGAGGCTTTTATGGCTCTTTTTATGCCCCTCCCCCCCCCACACACACACACAACGTCAAGGAATATGTTGTTTTTATAGGAGAAATTTAGGATTGAGATGAATGAGTATTTTTCTTTTTTTTTCTTTATATTTTTTGTATTTTGAATTTTATATATATATATATATATATATATATATATTTGTTCTTTTTTCAATTTTTTTAGTTTTGATAGTAAATTTCAAAATAAAGTAAAATAAGACAAAATAAAATGAGAAATAATTAAAACAAAAAAAATATAAGAAAATTTAGGGTTATGACACTTTGCTTACTATTTAATGATGGGTAAACTTTAGTCGTTTTTTGATGATTTTTTATAGTGGTCAAAGCTCGCTTACTACTTCTAAATCAATTTGTATACATTTCGTTTACCCAAAATGAAGTCATCTATGGCTTTTTACTTTTATGGATAAAGCTACTACTAGTTCTTGGACCAATTTTTATTTACTTTTTGATTATTGAAATGAAGCTTTCGATGGCTTCCTACTTATGTGACGAAGTCGCTAGTGGTTTTGAGGTTATTTTACTTGTTTTTTGTTTATTCAAAATGAAGCTATAGGTGGTTTCCTACTTATGTGGAAAAGTCGCTAGTGGCATCTCAAATCGGTTATTTGCTCCTTTTTCGAGCGAAATGAAACTATTGGTGGCTTGCATTTATACGATGAAGTTATCAACGACTTCCTAAATTCATAACTCGAAGTTGTTGGTGGCTTTTCACATGTGTGAGTGAAGTTGTTAATGACTTATTTTTTATATTAATAAAGGCTATCAATGGTTATTGGCCTCGGATCGATCTAAACCCCAAATTACTATGTTATTTCATCTTAATAAAATAAATCTACTCAAATAAGCATAAAAACATAACATAGTAAAATTAGATTTTTATTTTCACATGCAAACAATATAGCCTACTTTAGGTAGGATAGGATGATAGTGATGTTATATATTATCTATACTTAAATGACCATTTACCTAGATATCTATGCAAACAAATTTGTTTAGGATTTTTTGGTTATCCTCGATTAGTTAGGTGGCAATTTCAATTCATGCACCTTCTCCACGAGCCCCTATCGACATGAAGGATTTTCTTAAGGTAAGTAGTCTACTAAAATAATTTGATGAAAAAGATAGATATTCGACCCATCAATAAAGTTGAATAGGCCTTGTTCAAGTAAAAAGGATTTCATCTTAGTATGCTTAGAGTAAAAAAATTGGTTACAATAAGTTTCAAAAAATAAATAAAGTGATCAGTTTGGTTAAGGAACTGATTTGGAGTAGGAATGAGGGAAATGTTGTGTTAGCAATGGTTGAAGTACTTCTAGAAGAGGTCATTCCTTGTTGTTAGAAGGAACACATATTTGAGAACAAGGAAAAAAAGAGGAAAAAACAATAGTTTTAGCCTATTAAGCCTCTTATACCAAATTAAATTCAATAAGTTGATAGAGATTAAATATTATCCGTATTGTATTACTTACCTAGAACACTCTATCTCTATAGAGTTTTACTAGTGTTATGTTATAAGAAATTAGCGAGTAAAACAAGATATACACAACAAGAGAAGTGAGATAGAATTCTATCCTTAGCAACTAAAAGTTGTTATTATTGTTATTGAGAATGGTTGGACAAGATAAGAATAATAGATAGTAGTTGTTTTTGTTGTTGTCCACGAATCTTTTATCCTAACATTTATTATCTCCAAAGAAAACCAATTGTTGAGACCATTAATATTATATCTATATTCGATTTAGATAGTGCTTCTAATAAGCTATGGAATACGCGACTTGACCATATAAGTTAGAGAGGTTTGATAGAGCTAAGCAAATGAGAACTATTGTATTATAAAAAGTAAGCAAGCTAGATTTCTACGAGAATTATGTCTATAGAAAACAATATTGGGTGAAATTCAATGATGTCGTTTATTACACTAACGGTACACTAAATTACATCCTATTAGTCTTTTAGGGTGCTACCCTTGTTCCATCCAAATATGAAGTGAGGTATATGTCGACCTTTATTAGTGATTACTTGAGAAAGGTCTAGGTACCTTTCTTAAAAAAAAAAAAAGTGATGTTCATCACCTTTAATTAGTAAAAAGACTTGATTGAGAAATAGAAAAGAAAATCAAACACTTGATATTTGATAATAGATTGAAGTGTTGGTACGATGAATTTGAAGGATTTTATAAAGAAGAAGGAATTATAAGACATCATACTATTACACATACACTAACAAAATAGGGTTGTAAAATGAAAGAATCGAACACTCTTAAAAAGAACATGATGTATGCTCTCATAGTCTAGATTTCTAAAAAACTAATTAGGTTAACACTATTAATTAATATGGATTGTTATTTGGTGAACAAGTCTTCATCAATTTTTTAAAAGTTTAAGACTCTAAATGAAGTATGGTTGGATATGCCTACCGATTTCTCTAACTTAAGCATTTTTGGTTTTCATGCCTATGCTTATCTAAAAGAAGACAAACTTCGGCTAAAAGCAAAGGAATGCATATTTCTTGGTCGAAATGATACAAACTATAGTGTATAGATCCACAATGAACCATGTTCATCACTAGCAAAGATGTAACTTTTGATTTATCTATGATGTTTCATCATAAAAGGGAGTCTAATTATACAAACAAAGACAAAGATATTATTAATAACCGAGATGGACCTAGAACATGAAGCTCCAAAAATTATGGAGGATGATGATTTAATTAATCCGATTGAGGAAGAGGTACACAATTATTTAAAAGATGATGCACTTAATGAGCAACCATATAGTATTACTATACGAAGACGGAAGAGATAAATAAAAACAACTTAGAGATTTGCTAATTTAGTTCACTATGCCTTAGCCATAGTAAAAAAATATCAATAATCAATAAATGTGTTTTTATCGAGAGGCTACTACTAGTAATGAATCTTTATAATGGATAATGGCCATGGATGATGAAATTGAACCTCTCAAAAAGAATCAAACTTAAAAGCTTTGAAACTACCAAAAAGTCAAAAGATTATTATGTGTAAATGGGTTTACAAGTGGAAAGATATAACCCTAAGGGTTAAGAGTGCAAGGTTTAAAGCACGATTGGTTACTAAGGACTTAATTTAATAAAGAAAAAGCATTGGTTTTAATGAAGTATTCTATCTAGTTATGAATTATAGTTCCATTCATTTGTTGTCATGGTTACTTTGTTTGACATAGAACTTGAACATAGATGTCAAAATATCTTTTCTCCATGGTGAGCTTGAAGAGAGGATCTACATTAACTAGAGGGTTTTATTATTTAAAGCAAGAAGGATTATTTTTGCTTGCTAAAAAAGTTATTACATGGCTCAAAACAATCTTCGAGATAGGGGAATAAAATATTTGATACTTTCAAGATTAAGCATGGTTACTCTCGAAGTAACTATGATAGTTATATGTATTATAAGAAGCTCTTAGAGTTTCTATTCATTTATCCATTACTCTATGTTAATGATATGTTGATAGCTATAAAAAAAATAAGAGATCAGTAGTTTAAAAGGTTAGTTGAAGAGTGAGTTTGAGATGAATGATCCGGTTGCTATAAATAAAGTACTAGTTATGGAGACCGATAAGTATATTAAAAAAGTATTTGAACATTTTGGTATGCGGAATTGTAAGCCGATCAGTACTCCACTAATAACTCATTTCAAATTATCCATAATTTATCCCTAAAGATTAAAGAGGATAAACAACACATGTCTTGTGTTTCTTATACAAGTGTATTTAAAAGCATAATACATGTTATGGTCTACACACGTCTAGTTGACATTTCACATGTTATTAATGTTATGAGTAGTTTTATGGGAAACTATAAAAAAGCACACTAGTAAGTCATGAAATGGATTCTTTGATATCTTAGAGGTACTATAATGGTTACCCTAATAGATAATAATAATTATAATACTAGTGTATTGTTGTGGGCTAAATGGATTCTAATTATAATGGTGATTTGGATTGTAGGAGATCTCTAACAAGTTGTATTTTCACACTCTCAAATATACCGTAGCATAGAAAGTTATACTAAAATCTATTGTTTCTTTATCTACAATAGAGGCTAAGTATATGGTGATTGGTGATGTTATGAAGAAAGTATTATGGTTGAAAGGTTATATTTTTACACTTTCAAGATGTACCATTAGTTGGAAAGCTACACTATAATTTACTATTGCTTTGTCTATAACGGAGGCTGAATATATGACAATCAATGATGTTGTGAAGGAAGCATTATGGTTGAGAGGTTGTTTAGTAATATTGGTTTGACCCAAAAGAAGACTATTATGCATTGTGATAGCCCAAATACTATACATCAAATAAAAAAAATCGGATGTTTCATGAAAGAATTGAACACATCAATGTCAAATATCACTTTATCCAATAAATCATATCTTAGGGAGATATATTAGTTAAAAATATTGCAACATTAGATAATCTAGTAGATATGATGAAAAACCAATTACTACAATCAAATTAAAACAAAAATCAATTACAGCAATCAAGTTAAAACAATGTTTGAACTTGATTGGTGTTATAAACGTCTAAAAGTGTGATTAAAGAGGAAATTAGTGGAAATTCTTGGTTAAATAAATTCAAGCCAAGATAAAGATTTGTTAAGTGTCTTGAATTTCTCAAGCCTAATGAGATAGTTAACTTCAAACACATTGGATTTCTTAAGCCTAAGAAAACAAGTATACCTAGCAAAAAAAACTTTAGGTGCATTAGTATACTAAACATGTGCACATCTCATTAAA